TCGGCGCGCGGAGCGCCGGGCCGGGGAAGAGCTCGTCCTCGTCGGGCGCCATGGTGCGAAGGAGCGAGTGGCACGCGAGAGGGGCGGGGCAGCCTCCCGAGCCCGCCACGAAGATAGACAGTGAACTTGTGGTGCACGGTGAACACGCGTTGAACACGGGCGAGGCGCACGATGAAGCAGGCTCTTGTCTTTGCGTTTGCCGTCGCGCTCCACCGCGCGACCGGCGACGTGCCGCGGCGGCGCTCGTCGCTCGGCGGAGCGGCGCGGGCCGGGCCCGCGCCGGCGCTCGGCGCGTGCGTCGCGCTGCGGGGCGGCGCCGAGGCGCGGGCCCTGGCGCCGGACCGATCGCCGCTGGGGAGGTTCCTCGCGGCGGTGCGGGCGTTCGTCGCGTCCTTCTTCGACCCCGCGTTCGGCGGCGCCCACGCCGGCGGCGCGGCGCCGGAGGCGCGCGGCGCGGCGGCCGGCGGCGGCGGCGGCGCGGCCGGCGGCGGCGGCGGCGGCGCGGCGCGGCGCGCGCGCGCGCCGCGGGGCGCCGCGCGGACGATCACCGTCGACGACCTCAAGCAGATGGAGGGCGGGCGCGTGACGGCCATCGCGACGGAGGCCGAGCTCGGCCGCGCCGTCGCGGCGAAGAAGCTGTCGGTCGTCGACTTCTGGGCGGCGTGGCGCGGGCCCCGCGCGGGCATGACATCTTCAGCCCGACTTCCATGCGCGCGTGTGCGACGGCTTCGACGCGAAGTCTCCTGCCGTGCGTCGAGCACTCGACGAGAGCCATCGATTCGTCCAAACATCGGCCGAATCGACGTCGACGCGACCGAGCTCGAGAGGCTCGAAGTTCGGCGGGGACCCCCCGCGCCGGCGGTCGAGTTCCACGCAGGTGCGGGCCCTGCGTGTCCATGAAGCCCAAGTTCGCCAAGCTCAGCGACCGCTTCGGCAACGCGGCCAACTTCTACGCCGTCGACGCCGACGCCCGCGTCGAACTCAAATCTTCGACCCGACTTCAACGTGAGCGTATGTTGAACGTGTCGACGCGAGCTCTTCGGCTCTGCTTCGAGCATGTCAAAGTTTGGTCGGGACGTCCCAAACCAGCGGTCGATTCCCACACAGGTCGACGCGGCCAAGCCCGTGTCCTCGAAGCACGGCGTCAGCTCCATGCCGACGTTCGTCTTCTTCAAGGACGGCGCGGAGCTCGACCGGTTCTCCGGCGCGGACGAGGCGAAGCTCGAGACGCTCATCGAGCGCTACAAGTAGGCCGCGCGCGCCGCGGCGCGCGCGGCGCCGGGGGGGGGGGGGGGGGCTCCGGGGGAACTCAGGGGGGCTCAGGCCGCCGGGCCGCTCGACAACGCGAGGGGCGCCTTCTCGAGCGCGTACTTGTGCGGGAGCTCGTCGGGGAACGGGTAGTCGGGGTGCATGGACACCTCGCGCCACTGGAGGTGCCGCCAGCCGTAGTTGATGGCGCCGAAGGCCGCGACGTCCTCGGGCGCGAGGGCCCAATCGAAGATGGCGAAGTTCGACGCGATCCGCGCCGGGCGCACGGACTTGGCCACGACGCAGACGCCGCGCTGCAGGTTCCACCGGAGCATGACCTGGCCCGCGTCCTTGCCGGTCCTCGCCGCGACGGCGAGCACGGTCGGGTCCCGGAGCGGGATCGTGCCCGAGGGCGACGCCGTCACGCCCAGGTGCGTGTCGCCGGACCCGAGGGGCGAGAACGCCTGGAACGCGATCTTCGCCGTCGCGCAGAAGTCGATGAGGTCCTTCTGCTGCAGGTACGGGTGGCACTCGCACTGGAGCACGCTCACGGGCACGCGCGCCATCGCGACGACCTCGGCGACCTGGGCGCGGTTGAAGTTGCTCAGGCCGATGGACCGGCATCGGCCGTCGTCGACGAGCGCCTCCATGGCCCGCCACGTCTCCGTGTAGTGGCTGCCGCCGTCGGAGCAGAAGTAGCCGTCGCCGTCGACGGGGAACATGGACCCCTCGGCCTCGGGCGCCGGGTAGGCTCCGTCGAGGCGCGTCGCCGGCGCGCGGCCCGTCGCCGGCGCGGCCTGGGGCCAGTGGATGACGTAGGAGTCGACGTAGTCGAGCTGGAGGTCCTCGAGGCTCTGCGCGAGGTCCGCGGCGACGTGCTCCGGCCGGTGGTTCGTGTTCCAGAGCTTCGCCTGCACGAAGAGCTCGTCGCGGGTGACGACGCCCTCGGCGATGCACTTGGCGATCGCCGCGCCGACCTCGGGCTCGTTGTTGTAGTCGTTCGCCGCGTCGATGTTGCGGTAGCCGGCCTTGATGGCGGCCTCGACGGCGGCGCCCGTGACGCCGGGCGGCGCCTTCCAGGTCCCGAGCGCCACCATGGGCATCGTGTGGCCGCTGGCCAGCGTCACCGTCGGGTTGGTGAAGCCGCTCATGGCGGAACGGGGTGGAGATGGGCGAGCTTGAGCCGGAGTTGAGCGAGGAGGACCCGCAGCTTCTCAGTTCTGTGGAGTAACCCGGAGTACAGTATTCCTCAGCCTTTTCGTCCTCGAAGCAGCTGGAGCGTCCTCGAAGGACGTCTCCTCGACGGGCAACTCCGGGAAGTCGAGGAGCCCGTCGTCGGACCCCGCGAGGTCCGCGAGGTCCTCGTCGTCGAAGAGCGAGAGCCCCCCGAGGCTCTCGCGCGCGCTCGAGACACGGTCGGTCACGGACACGCTCGGGCGAGAGGGGGAGGGGCCCGGGGAGGGCTGCTCCATGCCCCACGGCACCAGGCCCGGGGCCCAGTCCTCGTCGCCCGCCATGCGGGGTGGGTTGGGAACCGGCTGTCAGTGCGCTTCTGAGCTCTCACAGCCACTCGATCCCGCATACGTATGCGTTTAACACAACGCCGGAAGGATATATATCACGAATAACTAGAGTTAAGATTTAAAATAAGGGGGGTCGACGATGGGCCCCTACTTCGACGACGCCTCACAGAGCGACGGCAGAGAGAAAACATGACCAGCAGAATGCAGGAGGCGGAAGGGTGACTCCACTCAGAGTAGACCGCCCGAGGCTGCGTCGCACCGTCCTCGGGCTGCGCCCTCGGACGGTACTCCTTGCCCCTCGGGTCTACTCTTCACTGGAGTTTCTTGTGGCGATCTCACGGAATACTGCCTGCGGCAGTCGCCTGCGGCAAAGGGCAATTATTTTAACTAGGGTAGACAGCATGACGACTAACTAGACTAGATTTGGGGGCGGGGCGAGGTTTTTTTGGGCGTCCTAGTACGCCTACGGACGCGTGCGGCCGCGCGCGCAGTACAAATTTTGACGGTCATCGGAGAATTTTTTCCTCAAAATCGCCCACAATGCCCGAATTTCGGACAAGGCGGCGCCAGTGGCGCTTCGGTGTCATTGCGGCTGCGACCGGCGGGCGCCAAGGAGCACGTTGTACTGGTTTCTTCAAGTTCCAGGGATTTGTAGCTTCAACTTGACTATTGAAGTTCAACAAAATCTTCATGTTGAACGACTAACTAACTAGAATTCAGCCGGGGCGAGTTTCCGTCATGCTGTTGGCCATCATTTTTTTGGTTGCCCTTTGCCTGCGGAGAGAATTCTAATATTTATAGTCAACGTTTTAATTCGTTCAATGAGCCGCAAGTCGTTGCGTGAAGCGGACGTAGCCCCGACCCAACCGACGATGCCCGCCGTGGTGACGCTGCCCCGCGTGGGCGGGAGCGCGCCCGGGGCGCGGCGGGGCGGCGCGTGGCACGTCGAGCGGCCGGCGGGCCCCGGCGGCCCGTCCGGGGCCCGGTCCGCGGCGCCGCCGCGGGCGCCGGCGCCCCGGCCCCCGGCGGCGGCGCCGGCGGCGCCCGCCGCCGCGGCGGCGGCGCCCGAGGACGAGGCCGGCGAGGCCGCGGCGGCGGCCGCGAGCGACGACGACGCCTCCGCGGCGCCGGCGGCCGACGCGCTCGCGGCCGCGCGCGGCCGCGCCGGCCACGGACGCGCGCCGCCCCCGTCGCGTCGGCGCCGTTCCGGCGGAACGTCCGGGGCGAGCCGCGGCCGCTCGTCGCGCGCTCGACGCCGGGGTCGCCCGCGGCGCGCGACCTTCAAGTTGACGTCAAGTCGTGGATGTGGATCCCAGGCCCGCGACGAGATCGCGCAGCTCCGCGCCGTCGTCGCGCGCAAGATCCGCGGCGGCCCGCGCAGAAATATTCCACAGGACTTCAATGTGAGCGTAGTCGCACGATCTCGACATACTTTTTTCACTCCCTGAAAAGACCTCGCCGAGAGAAAGCGATCCGTCCAAAAATCGGCCGAAACGACTTCGATTCGACCGAGATGCGCGCGGGTCTTCGCGCCGTCGACCCGACGTCGGCGCGCGCGCGCTCGGACGGCCGGGGGCCCCGACGCGCCGGCCGCGCGCCGCGCGCGAGCTGCGGCGTCCGCGCAGGCGGCGGCAACGGCAAGTTCATCTGCGGCTCGCAGTTCCGGGGCGTCGGGGACCGTGTGGAAATCAAATCTTCAACCCGACTTCAATGGGAGCGTATGCGACGGTTTTGACGCGAGTTCTTCGGCTGTGCTTCGAGAACTCGAAGAGAACAATCGATTCGTCCGAAAATCAGCCGAAACAACTTCGACGTGACCGAGCGAGAGAATTTCAAAGTCTGGTCGGGACGTCCCGAACCGGCGGTTGATTTGCGCACAGGTCGGGGACCAGCGCGAGCGGCCCCCGGCGGAGTGCCGGCGCTGCGCGCGGCTCCAGTCCGCGCCGGACCGCGCGGAACCCACGTCGGAGCCCGCGCGCGCGTCGTCGGACGGTCCGGGAGCGGACGCCGCGGCCGCGCGCCGAGGCCGCGGCGCGTCCGTCCCGGACCCGGCCGGATCGGTCGGCCGAGCGGGAGCGGGCGCGCTCGAGCGCGCGGCCCCGACGCCCCGGCCCGCGGGCCGACGCCCGCGCAGGCCGCGGACCGGTGCCGGCGGCGCGAGCGCGCGGCGGACGACGCGCGCGGCGCCGCCGACGCCGCGCGCGCGGCGGCGGACGAGCGCGCGGCCGCCGACGCCTTCCGGGCCAAGCAGTGCGTCGGCCGCGAGCGCGCCGCCGCCGCGGACGCGGCGCACGCGCGCGCGGAGGCGCGCGAGGCGCGCGCGCGGCGCGCGGCGCGCGACGACGACGTCGCGCGGCTCGAGGCGGACCGGCGCGCGCTCCGGGCCGCGGGCGACGACCTCGCGGCGCGGCTCGCCGACGCCGAGGCGCGGGCCGCCGCCGCGCGCGGCGACGCGCGGCGCT